TATTTATATTTTGTTTATAAAATAAATTACATAAATATATTTATTTTATTTATTTTTAAAATGTATAAATTAATATTTTTAACTATTAGGATTAAAATACTTTTTCTATTAATATATATTTTATAAAATTTAATTGCCTAAAATATATTAATATATTTAAATGTTTTTTTTAATTAATTATTTAATAAACATTTATTTTTAAACTTCTAATTAACAATATTAATTATATTTAATTTATACTTTATTTTTGTTAAATAAAAATATAAAAAAATATTTTTTTTAATATATTTATACATTAAAAAAAGCTCCTGAAGTGTTAATAGAAAATAATATTTTTTTTTCAGCTTGTAAACAGTAATTTTATATTTACTTAGCGTAAATTTCTTATAATTAAAATTATAAATATATAAATAGTATTTTTTTTTTATATATATATATATTTATATATATATTATTTTTAAAAAATACCTTTTAGATAAAAATCGATAATAAAGATTAGGAATTAAAAACGGATTTGATGAAATTATAATATAAGAATGTTTTAATTAAATTAATATTTAAAATTTTCTTAATTGTAATATAGATGCACTAAATATTCCTAATAAAAAGTACAAAATTTATATTACTTATGTAGACTAGGTAATTTTTTTAATATATTTTATTTAAAAACAATAAAATAGAAAAATAAAAAGTTATGATAATAAAAATAATAATAATAATATTAATAATAAAATATAATATTATAAAATTAAAAAAAAAAAAAATACAAAAGTATAAAGTAGAGCAATTAATAATTTTTTAAATTATGAATATTAGATTTATTTATTTTTTTTAAAAAAAAAAAATGGAAAACAATAAAAATTTGTATATTATTTTTAATTTTAAAATAATAGTTATTTTTTTTTATTTTTTATTAATATTGTTTTTTTATTTTAAGTAAAGCTTTTATTTTTTATTAAATATATTATATTTAGTTTTTTTTTTTTTTTCTCATAAAAAAATAAAATATTTATTTTAATTATATTGGTTGATTGATGTTTGTTTTTATTTATGTATATTAATTTTTCTATAAAAAAATAAAAATTATTAAAAGAAAAATTATAATAATATATCATTTTAAATTAATTTCTTAATATTGTTATTATATAATAATTGTAATTTATAATAAATACAAGCCTAAATTTTTTATATTTATTGGATTTATTTTTAAAATAATGATAGGTATGCTTTATTTTTTTCGTTAATATTTTATAAAAATTTCAATTTACTAATTTTTTCTATTTTATATTATTTATTTAATTAGAATAGAAATAAATATTTACAAAAGAAAAATTAAAAAAATTGTATTTTTATAATACAGCCCCTCCCCTATGAATGTTATAAAAGAAATCTAAAAATAAATACTTGAAAAAAAAAAAAAAAAAATTAAATATAGTATAACATAATATAATATAATAAAATATATTTAATATAACTTATACCATATATATATTTTTTTGAAATTACATATAATTTATGAATTCATTAAAATATTTTTTTTAAAAAAATTGTATATAAGAAAAAAAAAAAATATTTGCTATATATAAACATTATTATTTTATTATCTATTTTAATTTTTATACCAAAATTCTTTATATTTAATTATGTAAATAAATAATAAAAAAAAAAAATAAGATTAAGAAAAAAAAAAAGAAAAAAAAAAAAAAAAAAAATGAATTCTTTATAAATAATAATTAACTAACATTAAATTCTTTTAAAATAATATAAATTTGTTCCTAAGAATATAATTTTATTTTAAATTATTTAATAGAGTTAAATTTTACTTTAAAATAATTAATATAATTAACTAAGTGATTAATAGAAATTTATTTTAATATAAGAATAAAAAAAATGGATTGATTTTATTAAATAATACAAAAATTAATATATTTAACTATAAAAAGTTAACTTTATTAAAAAATTATTCTTAAAACAAAAACATTAATAAAATTAAAAAAAATTGAAATAAAACTTTTTTGTAGTAAAAAAAAAATTACCTGTAGTCCCTGAATTTGAAAACGAATAATTATAAAATTTAGAAGATTTATCTATTTCTTCAAATGAAAATTCATTCGAAATATCTATATAAGAAGATAATAATTAAAAAAATTTCGAAAATATATAAAAAACTATGTTAAAATTAGCTGATGGTAATGTTTAATTTTCTAGAGAAGTGATAAATTAAATGATACAAGTTTCTAAATAAGAAAATTTATTAAAATCTTAATAAATAAAAATATTATCGATTAGTATTTTACTAAATAATAACTAAATTAATATATAAAACATATAAAAAAAAATGAATTTAAAAGAAATATAAATAAAAAAAATTTATGATAAGTTAATTAAATAAAAATATTGATTAATAATAAAAAATTAAATTTCAAATAAAGAAAATAAAAAATAAAAAATTTATTAATTTTTAATATATATATAATGTACTATAATAAAATTATTCTTTCTTTAATTTAATTATTAAAGAAAATTATATATATTAATATATTTTATTACTGCTAAATATAAATATATAATATATTAAAATATATTTTAAATTTTTATAATAATCTATATTTGAAAAAACTAAAAATAAAAATTATTGTATTATTTTAATAAAAATGATTAACATTTATATTAAAAATTATTGTTAAAAATAAATAATAAATTATATAATAGCAAAGATAAATTTAAATAATAGTAATATAAATCATTATATATGAAAAATATATATATAAATAATATATTATTTTTAAAAGTAAAATAAAATATAATATATATATATATATTTATATTATAAAAATTTTAAATTCACAAATTTATAAAATTTATAAAATTCATAAAATTCATATTATTCATAATATTCTTTATAATTAACATATAATTTTATAATACAAAAAACGTTGTTTATATTTAATATAGTAAATGTTTTATGTCTAATAAATAAATAATCTAATTTATATTTATATAAAATATTTTATAATATTATTATAAAATATATACATATTTATATATTTACTTCTTTTTATTTTGTTTATAAATTTCATAAATTTTTTCTACTCTTCCTAGATATAGAAAATACTATATTTATTTTTTAAAATTTTGCTATAAAAAATCTTTTAAAAATATTTGTTTCATATATGTATTTATTTATTTTAATATTTTTTTTTTTTTACATTTATTATCATAAAATTAATAAAATTAAACTTTTTAAAATATATTTTCACATCCGAAAGGAAATTCTACTTAAGAATTTTTATCACAATCTGTTTTTACTACTAATTAAAATTAGTTTTTTAAATTTTATTATTTATTTATTCTTTTATTTAATTTTTTTTTCTTTTAATATGAAATTATTTATATATACTATATTTGGTTATATATTTATTTAATATTTTTGTTATTATTATTTATTTTAATATTTTATAAAAATTAAAAGATTTTATTTTTTTATAGGATTTATTTATATTATTAATATAGTATATTTATTATTTCAAATCTGTGTTTGATAACTAAGAAAATTATTTTTTTAAAATTATTAATTAGAGTTAGTTACTAATTTTTAATATTACTTAATTTTTAAAATAAATTTATAGCAAATATAAATTTAATTATTTATATTATATTATAATTATATATATTTTATTCATTAATTTATTATATTAATAAATATAAATTTAATTATATATTTTTTTTCATAATTTATTGTATATTAATTATTAAAAAAATGTTAAAATTTATAAATATATATAAATTTTTCTTAATATAATAATAAATAATATATATATATATATATATGTTTATTTATTAGTAATATATTTTATATAATTTATCTTTTTTACTTTATATATAAATAGATTATTTTATAATTTGTTTATTTAATTTTATGTATTAATTTTTGATTGATTTTAAGTCTGTTAATACTATATTTTACTTTTCAATATTCTTATATTTATATTTTTGATTTCTTATAAAATAATAATTTATAAAAATATTATATTAATAATCATTAATAAAATATTATATTGTTTATTATCATATTTTTAATATAATAAAAATAAAATTTAATTAATTATATAATTTATATAAGTATTTTTATATAAATATTATTATTATAATAATTTATTATATATATTTTTTAATTTTTATTTGTTTTTTTGATAAAATTTTGAAAATTATATAATTATTTCAATTATTTTTATGTAAAAATATGATGAAAACTTTATTTTATATTATATTATTATATTTTTAAAGAAGTATTCAATATCAATTTAAATTGTTTATAATTCATTTGTAAATTTTATATATGTTAATACACTTATTTGTATTAAATAAAATAATAAAAGTAAAATTTATTATAATATATAGATAAATAATAATAATTAATTAATATTAAAAATTTTGTTAATAAAATAAAAAATATTTTTATTTTAAAAACAGTAAAAAAAAGAATAAGAAATGCAAAAAAAATTATTATATATATATAATTATTATTTATTTATTTGCTTTATATCTCCATTATAAGTTTAAAAATATTTAATTTTTTTTATAAAAATATAAATAATAAAACAAAATATAAATAAAAATCTTATACATATATTTTTAAATTTATAATAAATTTTACTATCTTTTTTTTATTTATCATTCATTCTAAATAAGTCCTGACTTTTAAAGTAAATCTTTTAGAGATCCATCTTTGTGCATTTCACTAACAATATCAGATCCACCGATTAATTTACCGTCGATAAAAAGTTAAGGAAAAGTCGGCCAATTTGAATATAATTTAACTTGTTTTCTTACAGCTTCATTTTTTAAAATATCAACAGCTTAATAATCTTTTATTTCTATTTTTATTTATTATAGTATTTTTTTTTTAATATTATACTATAAAATTTCAAAATTTAAATAACAAAATTTGAATATCCACACATTGGCATTTAAGGAGTACCTTTCATAAAAATACAAACTTTATTCCCTTTGACCTACTATATATATATATATATATATATATATATATATATATATATATATATATATATATATATTATTTTTATATTCTCATTTTATTACTTTGTCAATCATTTCAGTTACTTAATTTTCGGATGCATCTTCTTGTATTTTTATTTTTGGTTAAAAATCTGGATGAGTTTATTCCTCGTTTTTCTCTTAATTATTGTTGTTTTAATTTTCATTCTATTAGGAAAAGTTAAACTTATTATATTGAATTAAACATTTTGCAATATTTTTTATTATAATGTAAATTTTAAATAGTTTTAAGTGTTTTTTCATTTTATAAATTTTTTTTGGCTTTTTTTTTATAATAAATATATATTTTTATTTTCTTTATTAAGAAAATATATTTATATTTTAAAAAAATAATATAATTTATAATATTTCTTTCTTATCATTTCCAAATCTTTCTTTTTTATAAATTATAAAGTTATATATATATAGTCATAGAATAAAGTTATAGACTTCAAAAAAAAATATGTTAAATTTTCATATAAAAAAATGATTAAAATAGTTATTAATATATAAATATTTAAATACATAATTATTAAATATTAATAATTATTATTTTTTTTTTATGTTTTTTTAATATCAATTATCTATAAATATGAAATTTTATTTTATAATAATTTTTTTAATTATTCTTTACAATTATTCAATTACTATTTTTCATAAATCTATATTATTATTATCTAATAATCATTATATATGTCTTTTAATTATACTTCTTTTATTTCTTAAACAATAATTAAACTTTAATACAAATCATTCAGATTCTTCTTATTCTTCATTTTATTTTTTAAATAATTTTAATTTTAAGAAATTATATATTTCTATTTAAATTTATATTATTCTTCTCTTTATTTTTATATAGGGTAATTGTACTAAATAAGAAAGGAAAATACAAAAAGCACTCAAATACATTAATCAAACATTAATAAATGTTTTATGCTCATTGCAAAATATAAAAGTGATACTAAAATAAAGTGATTATATAAATACAATAAAAATATTTTTTATTAGAAAAATATATAAAAAAAAAACTATTAATATATAAATATTTAAAAATTATGAAAGACTGAAATTATAGATGTTTATAATTTAAATAGAAATATAAAATAAAAAAAAATAAATAAAAAATATTATGCTTATATATTATATTTAATTATTCGTAAAAATGAATATTATTATAAAATTACTTTTATTATTTAAGAGTTTTATTTATAATAATTAGAAAAAAAATATTGGAATGAAAGTTATAAAATATAAAAAAAAAACACAAAAATAATAATTATATATGAATATAAAATAACTGTAAATATATATTAAATAAAAATATATGTAATTATAAATATATATTTATATTTATATATATATATATATATATTATAAATATAAATATTTGAATCTTATTTATTCCTTTTTTTTCATGTTTAGCTTTTTATATTTTATTTTAAAAAAAATATTTTTTTCATAAATTTATATTTTGATTAAAAATAATAAAAAATATTTAAATATAAATAAATATCTTTAAATAATATATCTATTATACATAAAATAATAAATTATTTTTTAAAAAAATTTTATTTACTTTTTATTATTATTTTTTAAAAATAAAAACAAATAAATTTTATTATTCATCAGATAATAAAATAAATAAGTGAATGTTTATTTTGATATATATTTTATTCTAAAAATTCATTTTAATAATTTAAATAATATTTATATAGAAATTTTAATTAATATGATTTAAAAGAGCTCTTTCTTTTAGTTTATATTTAATGAACTTTTTATATATGCTTTTTCTAAATAATATACTTTTTTAATAATGTGTATATTAAAAAATATAAATTTATAAATAATAATATATAAAATTTACATTTTAAAATAGCTTTTAACTTTTGAATATAAATAATTATTATATTTTTATTAAATAATTAAAAATTATTCATAAATAAATTAATATTAAAATATATTATATATGAAAATTTTATTTGAGTTTGAATAATAAATAATATTATAGCTTTTTTTTAACAATTTATTATAAAATCTTACATTATATTTTTGATACATAAAAACTATATATAATAATAATTAAAAGAAAAAAATTTAATTTTTAAGTAAATTTAAAACTAAAAGTAATAATATACAAACTAATAATAAAATGATAATTAAAATAACAATCATATAATTATTGTTTTTATTTTAAAAAATATTTAAATATATAACTTGTTTTGTCTTATTATGACAATAATTAATTTAATTATAACTAAAATTATTTATATAATTTAGATACTATTAAAAATGAAATATATAATATTTTGATTGAAACATATATATTAATTAAAAAAAGTATATAAAAAAAACATTTTAATTCTTATATTATTAAAAAAATTTAAACTTTTAATATCAAAAAAAAAAAAAAATTTAATTTTTATAGATACTTAAAATATTTATAAAATTTTCAAATTAAAAAAATAAAAATTATTATAATTAATGTCTTAATATAAGTTACATTTACTATTCTAACCGTCAATACGTTAAAAAGAGTAAATAAATATGAAATCATTATAAGAAAATGTAAGAAACTTAAAAAAAATGAAATAATAAATATCGTATTCTTTAAGAAGGTAGTAAGTCAAAGCATATGTGAATGATTATGACATAAAAATTAATTCGGGAATTACTCAAATATAAAAATAATACATAAAAATAAGAATAAAATCCATGTTTTAATTCTGAAAGTTATTTAAAATGTAACATTAAGAAGAAATAAAAATTTAATATATAATAATAAGTTAATTTAAAATATATATTAATTAAGAAATAATTAATACTAATAAATAAATAAAAATA